AGTCATTTTAAAATAAACTAAAAATGGCATAATAAACTGTAATGCTTTATTAAGGCATGGTTATTACAAAAAAAAAAGTAATTAAAAAAGAGTGCCATTTGAAAAATAAATATTAATTAGATATGACTAATTGATTGGTTTCTAAAATAAAAAATCAGTTTCTTAAAAAAAAACCTATTATAAAAAAAAATAAATTGATAACATTCTTGTAACAAGTATAAAATTTTTTATTTATTAAGCAATTTATTTAATGAATAAACAAATAGTTCACTCAAAAATTGAAAGCTCCTTTAAAAAGCTGTTTAGAGGAGCTGCTTGAATGGCTCTCCATGTTCGTTTTAGGAGAGCTTTTCTCTACTCTTGCACTCTTTTACTTCTGCCGAAGCCTCTCTCTATGTATATATATATATATATATATATGCAGTAGTGGTGTAGTGGTAGATTGCTCGCTTCATAAGAGAGACGTTTCAAGTTCGATCCCCACCATATCCCTGGTTATCATGCAGTTAAGTACAATAAAATCATTTGATTTATTAGCTTGAATAAACTCTACTTTGGTGCAGTGAAATTGAAAACATTGTAACTAAAAGGAATTAAATAGTAGACATTATTTCTAAAAGTTTTGTAATATTATTTTAAGTTCTATTTAAACATAGAACTTAAAATAATATTAATTTTTATAAAACTTTTATTTTATTATATAAATAATATAAAAGTTTTATAAACTTTATTAAAGTATGTTTTTTTTAATGTTAAATAACTCCAATATTTTAAAATAACTTTTAATTAAATGTTGATATATATATATATATATATATATATATATATATATATATATATATATATATATATATATATATATATATGTGCTTTTAAATAGTAACAAATTAGTCCTAATGATCATTTATTAATGGTTAACGATTATATAAGAGTATTATATAATTTTTTTTTATTTATATAAATATGAATTTTTTCAAACAAAATATACTCTATTTAAATAATAACATATTTATTAAATAAATAGCTTTGTTAATTCTTTTTTTTTTAATTATTTTATTCTTAGTTTAAAATTTTTTTTCACTCTTAAAATGGTTTTATTTTTTTAGTTTTTCAATTTTTTTTTTTTTTTTCTCTTTCAATAAAGTTTTTTTTAAATTTTTAGTACTGGTTTTTTAGTTTTCTATGCAGTTTATCTTATTTTTTTCAGCACATTTTAAAAATACTTTAATAAATAGCCTTTTTCCAAAGAAATTCAAGTCAAGTTGTCTAAAAAAATTATTTTAAGCATGGACAAACAAGGAGTTCGACCGGATGCGCTTTTAGTAACAACCTGATATATCAGCGCTGATAAAAATTATTTTAAGATTGTCAATCAATTATTTTGTGAATGATCATATTTAATTTTTCAAAATTTAACCTAATTTAAAAAAAAATTATTCATTGTAATAAATTAATATTTATTACAATGAATATTCAGTATTTGAGAATAATCTTAATAAAAGTATTTAAAATCTTAATAATATTTATAATAATTAATATTTATATTTTGCTTTTAAATTTCATTATTTCTCCAAGTAAGTAAAATAGTTGTCTGTTCTATTTTATCTTATCTCAAGGAAGGTAGATCATGGCACCAGAGAAGAAATGAGTTAGGCTGTTGTTAATGTCCTAAAATAATGAGGGATGTTTTAATACAACAGGGTCAAGTACTAAGGATCGGCGATGTTGACTTTTTAAGTCTTGAAATAATATCGTATGCGTATACCGAATTTAACTGAAAGACAAGTTTAAGCCGTATTTGTAGCCCGTATTTAACTGAAAGACAAATTTGGACTTTTAAACCGAATTTAACTGAAAGCCAAACTTGGATTTAAAAAAAAAAATTTAATTAAAAAAGAAATTTTTTAAGAACTTTTGTAAATTTTATAAAAAATTTATTTGTCTTTTTTTTTTTTTTTTTTTTTGCTTTAAATGTCCTAATGGTTTTGCCACGGAGTTCATCAGAAAAGTATTAAACTAGGAAGTTCAAACCTCCTTCCTTACCGATGGTGCGAAATATGCCCAGAGCTTGCTTTGAACTCTAGGTTTTTTTGTTTCTAAGGCATGCGCTCTAACCATTGCACCGTGGTTGCTGTATAGTCATTTTTTATAAACTAAAATCATTGTTTTTTGGCTTGTAATTAACCATAATTTAAAACATGACATAGAACAACTGAAATCAAGTAAGTTTTAATTTATTAAAAATATATACGCTTACAAAAAACAACTCGCATTAAAATAAAAAATCTAAAAATTCAGTAATAATGAGAATTTAAGTTATGGAATTTTTACAACTCTTAATGTTTTTGAATGAACATGAACAAAAAAACATTTACAACGTTTATTGAAAAATTTTGATTGTCAGTTTTGTAAAGGAAAAAGATCGTTAAGAATATTAGGTTAAATATTCACCTGTTTTTTGCCTTTAGGATTTAATAAATGATAGATTCTGTGCCTAAAAAGGACTTTGAATATTGACTCTGTAAGACAAATTTATTTCCAAGATGTTTTTTTTTTATACTGAGTTCATGTTCCCAAGGCCGAGTGGGCCACTTTAGTCAAGGAAGCTACTTCTTATATTGGTTACATCCTTCTTTCAACTGTTCAACTCCGAAACACTTTTTAAAGTTAAAGAGTTGAAAGATGGTTGTAACCAATAGAAACAGGTTGATTTACATAAAACATATAACATATTTTATAATTGTTTTTCTTTACAAATTGAAAAAACTTTATAGCTTTTGAGTTTAACTGAAAATTAAATGAAATTTTGAAATTGTTACCAAATTTAATTGAAAGCCAAATTTCTATTTCAACTTTTGCACCGAAGTCGAAGCTGAACTCAACTTTGTCTTTCAGTGAACTTCGTAATCTAAATTTTAATAAATATTCGCCAGTCTTTATCAAGTACTAAGTTTTTTAAGTATCTACTTTATTTTTTTGCAAAATAAAAATATACTCTGCTATTACTTGAATACTATACCTTCTAGCTTATGGTCTATAAACACTTGCACTAAAGACCTTTTTAATGTTTAAGACCAGGGCATTGGTTACATCAGAGCAACAAACACTTGCATTTTCAAGGGAACAAACAATTAAAGCAAAAATCTTATAACTTTTTTCACTTAAATGCATCAATAAAAAATTGATGTGTTGGTGATGTATATCTATAAGATAGTCGATGTATGTACCAAAAACCCCAGCAACAGGCTGTTTCAGTGCCACCTTTTAGTAAATTAACTCACATTGTGTGAGTTAATTTATAAAAGGGTAACAACATTTTGAGAGAAAAACTACAAAATGTTGTAACCCTTTTAGTAAATTAACTCACACAATGTATGGTATCATATCCTAATGTATGTTAACCCTATCCTAATGTCAAGGTCAGTTAAAACTAACTTAAAAAAATAATATATTTAAGTTATAAAATTTTAATTTTCTTTTAGGAAAGAGCATAAGTACCATTCTTCAAAATGTGCTTTTATAAAACTAAATAAAAAAGAATGTGATTGGACCATGGATGATTTTCTGAAAATAGAAGCAGAGAGGCAGAAGTCCAGAGTGGTAATTATTTTAATTTAAAGTTATTCAAATTATTATTATATTTTAAAGTTGTGTTTTGAAGTTTTTTAAAAAAAAAAGGTAACAAAATTTTAAACCTTTCTGTTGCTAATGTTGTCATGGTTTTATTTGTATTTTTGTAAGTTGGATCTGTTTTTTGTATCATTTATAATTTTTTTTTGTAGAGATTTCACATTGAACAGCAAATTGAGCATTATAAACAGGAAGCTGTTAAATCAAGAGAGTTTATTGAGAAAATCATTTAATCAAAGTCTTAGTTTGTGAAATTACATGCCTAATTTTTTTTGTTTTCATGTTTCTTCTCATTTTGTTAATATTTTGTTTAACAATAGCAAAATAATGTAACTTGTTATTTTTTTACACATGTATTTTAGAAAACCTTGTGTTTGACAATTAAATATTAAAATTAGCATGTTTAATATAATATTATGTGTGATTTATGGAGCTTTTATTTATTTATTTTTTTGTAATTTATTATAAGAATGGAGGTTTTTAAAATAATAGTATATATTAACAAATAGAGAATCTTTTTTTTTTTGTTTTTACCTATTTTATTTATTTTTATTGAGAGAAAAAAAGTTTTAAGTTGGATTAAGTTGGACTATTTGATAGATATAAAATTATTACACTAATTTATATTGATAAAATATAAAACTATTTAACTAATAAAAGATAAAGTTATTACACTCTAAATTATTGCATAATAATTTTTATTTTATGTAATGAATTATGTACTTTATATATTAATTACTTCTATATATTTTTCACTTTTATTGTAGAATTTTAAATTGTTGTAATAATTCTTAAAATGCCTGCATTCTATTAAAATAAGAAATATAAAACATTTTTTATAAGCCGTAACTTTATCAAATTTTTTATCAAATAAGTAATGTTGTTAATAAATAAATAGATAGCTAGTGTGAAAACATGTTTGTTACAAGTGTAAACAAACATGCTTGTTACAAGTGTAAAACTAATTATTTTTTTAATTTAATAAGTAATTTTTTTTAACGAATAAATAGATAGCTCATGTTAAAACTAAAAGCTATCATAAGAAGGTGTTTAGAGGAACAGTTCACATTGTTTGCCATGTTTGTTTTAAGTGAGCTTTTCTCTGCTCTTGCAATCATTTACTCCTGCCGAGGCCTGTGTATATATATTTTCAAATTTTATTTTTCAAGTTATTTTAATTGTGTGTACATTTGTGTATACACATACATATATATTTGTATTTAATCATGATTTTTTTCAGATAAAATTATATTAAGTTGAATATGGGTAAAACCTCTAATGTGCTTGTTTTAGGAGGTAAGTAAAAAATTATCTTTGTTTTACACAAAGGTGAAAAGTAACAAATTACATTAACTTGTTACTGTAATTGAGTAGTTTTTTTGTAAATTTTGTACTTTTTAAGTATTTTTTAAAATGTTTACTTCAACTTTTACTTAAGTATATATTTTTTAAAGTATTATACTTTGCTACGTTTTAAATCATATATGTTACTGAGTAAAATTTTTTTACATATATTTTATTTTAGTATTGTTTTATATTTTAGTATTGTTCAATATTACAAAAAGTATGATTTAGTTATATCAGTTTATAATTATATAGCAATATCATTTATTATATGTACGCAATGATGCACTTATTCTTTGCAAAACATTAACAATAAATGTGATTATTAATAAACAACAATAATAGTTAAAAAACATAAAACTGCTTCTAAATTAAACACCAAAATCAAAAAAAGAATATTTCAATGAGAAGTTGAACCCGCTTCCTAGTTAGTCACACCTCCTAATTATAGTTTTTAATCATCCAGACTCAAGTTAATACAAAAATAATAAAAAATTAAATTTTTTTCTTATACAAATAATATTTTTCCTGGAGGCTTATTGTTTGTAGGCCCGTACAAATAATAACTTTCAATTTAATATTAAATAATAAAAATTGAATAATGAAGGAGCTAAGAAAATTTAAAATATTGCGTGACGTTTTATTTTAATTTTTTAAATTTATGGATACCCCTTATGAAGACATTAAACCTGTGCGCAGTTAGCATTTTAGCTTTTAATCTTTTTTATTTGAGTTTTAAAAAAAAATTTCAAAATAGTTACAAAAGAAAGTGAAAAAAGTTCTTCAAAAAGTAACACATTAAATTTCACTCTATTCATTTCATTAAATGCTCAACCTTGTGAATAAATCAATACAAATTTGTAATTAAAGCAAATTATTTAGTAAAAATAATTTTAAGAATAGTAAATAGTTCGATATGACCATAAATTAATGATTATAAAAAATATCATATGGTTATAAAAATTACTAAACTGATTAAAAATATGTTAAACTGTTTAAAAATGTTTTAAGCAATGATTCTAAAAGATAATAAACTTTAAAAATATATTAAAGGAACAAAAATATTTAAAAAAATACTGTAACAGGGGCTAGTAAGTTGCCTATCTTTTTAAATCTTATTCAATATTAGCGCATATTTAAGTGATGTTGACTTTTGAATCTTGTTTTATCATTATGTTTCTATGTCTGTGTAAATATTTTAGTTTTTTATATTGTTTCTATTATATTATTAAAATTATAGGTGTGATTTATAGGGTGTGGATTCATAGGACGTCACCTGGTCACATATCTTATTAAAAATAATCTAGCAGAAAAGGTGTTTGTATGATTTTGTATTTTTAAATAAAGTGTAGTTTTTATAATTTTCTTTTCTTCTAAAAAACAATCATTTCATTTAAAAATATTATTTTTTATCTCAAAATAATTCTCTAAGTAAAATAAAAAAATACTAAATATAAAATAAACAAGTTCTAAATTGTTTTTATTCGCAAATTAAACGATCATAACTTCATTTTAAATTTTTCTTATTTTCTAAAGACAGATTCAAGATTTTTTGATTGAGTATTTTTCCTAAAAATATCTTTATCTTGCATAAATGAGCATGTTACATTTTAAATCAGTTTTTGATTACTTTTATAATCTTTTTAAAGATTCGAGTGGCTGATAAATCTCCACCTCAGCTATCTTGGTTTAATGCAGAACATAAGGTATAATGAGTTTAAGATACAATCTAATGTTATAATATGAATGTATTGATGTAAGTATGATTTTTTTTTTGCATAAGTGTCTTTAATGGTATTTCCTTCCTACCTAAACAGAATTATATATACATTAGGGTGATTCTAAAACCATTTTTTGAAAATATCTGCCGGCACCCCCTGATTGTGTTCTATATTGATTAAAAAAGATTTTTTTTTTAATTATAATTAAAAACTCTAGTTCACTTAAATCTAAAATAATAATTTAATTATAAACTGATTCATATTTTTGAAATTTTTATATAATTCGCTTCATTTGAGACTTAAAATGGCATACTTTTAATAACTTTTTTTTGATAGTATTTTAAATTTAGTTTAAAAATCCAGTAATATAAGCACATTCAGGTTTTGCCAGCAGACATTTTCAACATGACATGGTCATGTTCAACAAAAGTTAACAAAAAAATTTACTTCAATGAAATGCTTTGTAAATCATTATAAATACTAGCTGTTTGGGCCTGTAAAATATGGGTCATGGTAAATATATTCCACGCTGACCTTTTCTATACTTATTCCTTACTTCAATATTCTGTAGTAAGCGGTAGAAAAATAATGATATACATATAGAAAAATTATACTTATTGTTTACTTTTTAAAGCTATGAAAAAAAGCTCTCTATAATAGTTAACTTTAAAAAAACTTTAAACGCTTTGGTAGCCTTTACGTAAATCACTATTTATCAGCAGATTGGATATTAGTACCAGTCTAAATAATATTTAGAATACCTGCTTGAAATGTGTTAAATAATTACCATAGGTATAAAAGATTTCTGCTGACCGGACCTGTAAAAATACGGGTCTTTGTAAGTCAATTTCACACCAACCTTTTCTATACTTTTTCTTTGTATATATATCTTATCTTTCCAGACCAGTAAAATCTTTAACAAGCTAACCATTTCAATACTTATCTATTTAACATAGGCACATATTTTTTGTATACGTGGATCTTGTAAAAGATTTATAAAATAGTTTGTATTCTCTTAAAAGGAGAAACTCTATTCTACATCGACCTTTTCTATATTTCTACCTCTAATATTTTTTAGTGAACGATAGAAAGATAATTCATTCATAACATTGCTTTATGAGCAAAAAAAAAAATTAACATACGGACCTTTTCTGCATATATAGAGCTTAATAAAACCCTTACCCTGTATATTTATTTTAAATGAAAAATTCTTATTTAAATGAAAAATTTTTCATTTAAAATAAATATATGGGGTAAGGGTTTTAATAAGCTCTATGTATACAGAAAAGATGCATATGTTAATTTTTTTTTTTTTTACTCATAAAGCAATGTTTTGAATGAATTATTTTTCTATCTATAAATCTTTAAATCATCTAACACCATGAAGAGAAAATTTTCTATCTTAAATTTTTTTAGTACTAAAAAAATTTAAAAAAGAAAATCGTTTCTTCATGGTGTTAGATGTCCAGATTTACCTAATTGAATAAGTCAGGCACTTAACATATATAGTTTTAAACTGACAATTGCGAAAAATTTATTGAAAAAGGGTCTATAGTAAGTCTATAGTTAAGCTTTTATTTTCTCATTAAAATAATATTTATTTGCAAAGCAATTGAGGACCAGTAAAACGGATTATGAGGAACCTGGCATGTCAAATAAATTATTTTGATTTGTTTTTTTGCATAAAACAAAAATAGAATAAACTCATATATTTGAAGTATTTGATATATGGAATGGTAATATTGGATTAAATAATTCAATACAAAGTTAAAGGAAACTACAAAATAAGTTAACAATGTAAAAATTATTCAAGTACTAATTTACAACAATTTAAATTTATTAAAATAGCTATTAGTAAATGATATGAAGATTGCTGATTATTCTTCTTCACCTTTAGAAAATGATTAACAATTTAAAGGTTTTTAAATTGATTCTAAAAGAATGAAGTCTACTTAAAAATGAAATAAAATTTTTATTGATAATACTTAATGCACATTTATATGTATTATGTTAATTCATTTTAAAAATTAAAAATACAAAAACATGCAACGAAATTTAGTCACATATTAAGCGATAAATAAGACACTTACTTTGTGAGATTGCTTTTGTGAAGGTTTTTAGTATTTGATTGGAATGCTGGAAATCATCTTTTTTAAAAAAAACTCAGTTTTATCAACAATGCTAAAGATGAAAAATCATACTGAGATAAAAAATTAGGCATTTATTCTGAAAGTATTTCCTCTTAGTGAGTGATTAGGAATAAGTTATAATATAAAGGAGAAAGTTTCAGTAATGAAGCTACTTAACAATCGTTTTTAACAAAAGACACCATTATAAGCCAAAGATAAACACCAACTTCATCAAATGTTTGACCTTGACTTTTATTAATTGTCATTGAGTGTGCTAACCTAACTGAAAATTGATAACGTTTAAGTGTAAAAAATAAATTATAATCTGATTGAGCTAATTGAGCTCGAGGAACAAATACTCTGTTACCAGCTGATACACCTGTTAGAACCTCACCATTACTGTAATTGTTGTGTAGTACACATGCCATCAAACGGGTTCCATTAGAAAGTCCACTTTTGAGATCTAAATTTCTAAGTTGCATTATAAAAGCACCGATTTTCAATTTTAGGCAATGAACAGGCATGTGTATTTCACAACAATTACATTGATCAGATGGAGTAAAGCTATTTAAAAAATTCTGCTCAAAAATTATAAATTTTATTATGATTATCAGTTTCTTTAGTAACTTTAAAAACAGATGAAAAAATTAAAAAATACATATTATTTATAAATAAAAATATATTCAATAATTATATCATTTATGATGATGATAATAGAAGATTCAAAATTATCTCAAGAAATACAAAAAACTTATTGTGTGCATATCTACAAGCCTTGTGCATTATCAGTTAACTCTTCCAATATTATAAGGAGTATAATACTATTTTGATGGTTATCTAAATTCTGTCATTGTTGTGTACTCGATTTAGAATGTTTAATGGGAGCGTAGTAAAATAGCTGTAAAACTTTAAATTTCTTTATTACCTTAGTATTTGGTAATTTTAACTTTTTGTTATTTTTAAAAATGATAAATTTAATAAAATGATTTTAAATATAAAATCAAAATTTTTATTATGTTCTTAATGAAAACATCATTTAAACCCCCTTACTGTGTTTAAAAAAATGTTTAGGTTGCCAGGTGACAAGTTTAAATCATAAGTTTGCTTTTATTAAATTATTGTTATTTAAAATGCAAAACAAAAATAATTTATAGCCCTCTTTTTAAAAGTTTTTTGTTTTGTATTTTAGAATAATCAAAAAATAATTGAAAAATAAAAAGTTCCAACAATAGGATTTAAACCTCGGTGCTCTTCTTCATAATGTCAGCGCGCTAACTGCTCGGCCACACAGATTTATACTTATACTCCAAGGAAATTTTTAAATTGTTTACTAAACAAAATATTTAATAAAACAGAATCAACCACTAGAGATCAAAATTAAGGATATGTTGTCACAATGCAAGTAAAACTGTAAAACTTGATATTATTTAATAAAATATTTATTATTACATAATAAAATATACACGTATTCTTATAATACAAATATACATGTATTTTTATAAAACAAAGTGCTGCGACTCTTTCTTGCCATTACCTCAGTTGCAATGGCTGCTATGAGTTCTGTGTCAAACACGCTTGAAAGGGCACTGTTACTATTAAGTTCAGCATTATTATAAAGAGATTTCAATTACAAAAATTATTGTTTACTTTTTACTTAAATCAAGTAACAAATTACTTTTAATGATTATTTGTAATAAACCTGTTTTATTTAAATGATTGAAGAATATTATATGCAATTTCATTTACATAAATATGTATTTTTTATGATAAATCTTTTAAAACTTTTTATATGATTAATTTTAGTAACAATTTTAGCACAAAAATAAACAACACATAACATAACTCAAACTTAGTAATGCAATAAAAAGTACTAGTTTCTATAAGCAATAAAATAATTATTTTTCTTAAATTTTTTATAAAATAAATTAAAAAGCGATTTTAAAAGCAAAAATATTTTTTAAAAATTATAAATATCATTGGACAAAAAAATAAATGCTAAAATATAATTTAAATTGGTAATAAATAATTAATATAAATGATTAAAACTCGGCTGAAAAAAAAGATTTTACTTAAAATAATGATCTATTTTATTAATTTAGGTGTGTGTTCAACTTCATTTTCTGTTTTGTATAAAAAATAACAAGTTTAAAAAATGAAGTTTAAATACTTAATTTATTATTAATTTTAGAACAATTATGATTATTAAGTACACACGAAATATGGGTCAGGCAAAATGACTGGTTGATGTTGTTTTTTTCCGAACAATATCCGTTATCCGGCGGCTATTTCGAGCCCTGTATATATAATATATATATATATATATATATATATATATATATATATATATATATATATATATATATATATATATATATATATATATATATATATATATAATGTATATATATAAATATAATGTATATGCATATGTGTGTATATATATGTACATACATATATATATATATATATATATATATATATATATATATATATATATATATATATATATATATATATATATATATATATATACATATATATATATATATATATATATATATATATATATATATATATATATATATATATATATATATATATATATATATATATATATATATATATATATATATATACATACATACACAGGGCTCAATTTAATTTTTTAAAAAGTCACGGACATAATGTACGATCAAAACTTGTTTGGGTTGAACAGTGTCTGATCAAGTTTTTAAAATATAATTTTTATGGTTTTATGGAACCGAATTATGCAATCAAAATCTTTGTCATGTTATTTAGTTTATTTAACATTACTCTAATAAAGTTGTAGTTACTTTCCTTATTATTTAGAATATTTCATCTGAGATTTTTGTTTTTTAATAAGATAGTTTCAATTTAATATTGTACGTTTTTTTTAGTTTTTTTTTAGAAATTTCACGCTGTAATTGACAATTATTATTTTTTATTCTTTTATTTTTATTCTTTTCAATTTTGCGGCTGTTTTGATGTTTTAACAATTTATATGTAGTTAAAAAAAAGTTTAGTTAAGAATAACTTTTAATGATTGATCTTTTTTAAAGTTTTTATCAATCCTTTAAAAATAAACGCATTATGTGTAAATTAAATGTTATATTTAAATTTTTTTTATTAGTATAAATTTTTATGATAAATTTAAACGCTTGAAACTATTTTTACATGTTGTTCTAAAAATCTTTTAAAAGATTATTTTTTAAAGTTAATTTAAATTATGAATAAGTTAATAAAAGTTAAATAATAATTTAATATATAACAATATAATAAGTTAATAATAAATAAATAATAAAGAATAAATCTTCCCATGATTTAATTGCTTTTATTTTTATTTTTTTGTTTCTATTTTTACAAAGAATTGTTTAAAAGTTTTTTTATAAACTTGACTTACTAATTAAATCAAGAAATTAAAAATTCAATATTAAAAAAACAAAGTTATTTTTTTAAACAATTTTTTTTTGCAATTTTTTGAAAAAAATGTTTATACAAGTTAAAATTATTATATTTTTTCTTTTCAATAATTTATTAAACAATCAATAGAAGTAATTTGTAAAAGCATTTTGGGTACCTTTTATTAAACGTTTTAAAAGATTAGTTTTGAAGTTATTTTTTAAAAATGCAATTAAAAACGTATCAAAAAGTAATTTCTACTTCAAGTTTTTTTAGTTTTTTTTAAAGCTAATTTATTTTATTTTCCGTAAGGAATTATTTTGCTTATTCTTTAGTTTCTTAAATTTTTTTTCTAGTTTAAGTTTTGGTTAACATTTCTTTTTTTAGCGCAATTATGAAATGTTCAAAACGTCTAAACAGTCGTGGTCAATTTGTAAACAAAAGAAAACATTTGCGTGGTCAGCAAAAGCATTCCATCATGCACCATTTTTTCCCAAACTTTATTTTGTAGAGTTAAATTCCCGTCGGTCAAAATGTCCGATTACTTTGTAAATTGAGCAGACAATCTTAGGTTTTAGCCAGACAATGTCTGATGTCTAACTGTTAAATTGAGCCCTGCATGCATACATACATACATACACATACATACATACATACATACATACATACATACATACTTACATACATACATACATACATACATACATACATACATACATACATACATACATACATACATACATACATACATACATACATACATACATACATACATACATACATACATACATACATATATATACATATATATATATATATATATATATATATATATATATATATATACATACATACATACATACATACATACATACATACATACATACATACATACATACATACGCACACACACACTCAGTACTGGCACCTTACTCCTCCACAGAGTAAGGGGAATCGTTCCTGCAGTCAGATACCAAGAGATGCATATTAAAAGGATGCAGCACACTCTTAGAGAGATCAGAATTTGTGACTGCAATAAAGACTTGTGGCGCTGCAGGTTGTTCCATAGTGCATCTACCTCTGAATCGCACATCATCCACCAGGTGTTGTAGATCAGTGTTGCAAAGTTCACAAATTAAAAAAAAAAAATTTAATGTTTTTTAACTCCCCAGGGTCAAGAAAAAGCTAGTACAGATTAGAAGGCTACTTTTTTTTAATTGAGGTTAGAACCCTCTCTAAACTCTTAAACTCTGAATCATAAACCTTGACAAACACGCTTCACAGAGAAAAATACTGAGTGCGATACTACCAGGAACATGCTGGGGATCGAATCCAAAACTTCTCGCCTCTGAAGGTAACGCTCTATCATTATTCCACTACAGCATGAAGCCCTCACCTTTAAACTTTAACTCAGTAGTTGTTGAATTTGCAGCTTAAACAAGCAATCTTTGTTAAATAGATTAGTTTAGCCATCTATCTGGCCTTGTGTAAAACTCCTTGTCACTTAAAGGTGATTTGTGAATCAGTTTCTTCATCAAAGAACTCTGTGTATAGCTCAGCAAATTCTAGGTGATTATCTGGGAATAGCAATTCTCTCGTTTAGCAAGTTGGAAAACACTGGTTCAGCTTGTATCTACCCTTTGAAGTACCTCATGATTGAATGATGTCAAGTTATAATATACTTACAATATACTATGCTCAATAAAAAATAAAAAAAATTTAATACCAAATAAGATAAAAGAAAATTATTGTGTAAAAACATGCTTTCAAGCTTGCATACTCGACAAACAACTAAGATAAACATGTAAATGATAGTAATTTAATCAAATTCAATAACACTGTAAAATAATAAGTAAAGAGGTAAACAGCAAATAATATTCATTTTAATATCACAATATAATCCTTTATGATGCAAATGTTGCAACTTAGGGCAGACCCTCTAAACACAGTTAAAATAAGAAAAAAATTTGTAGAAATTCTTTTTATGACCAAAGGAATATTCTCAAGTTAAAGACATAATAAATGGTTAAAGTTAGGGCATTTGATGTACCCTATGAAAAATGAGTACAACTGGCTTACTCTTTTTGCACATGTTTACACTATGTTTTAAAAAACTAAATTTTAATAAAAAACAGCATTTTAACTTTTTTTTATAAGGTATTTTTATAATATTTTACTTAAACATTGATTTTTAATTAGCTTTTTGATTAGACAAAATCAATTAGATTCAGGTATATCTTTTTTTTTTCAAAATAAAACACAATTTTATCTCGAGCCAAACAATTTTTTTTTTATGTTTTTTGATTATTCAAAATTTATAAACAAACTGCTCAATGTTAGTTTTATGTATGTAATTGAATTTAAATAATATAATAACAAACATAATAAAAAAGCGAAAAAATTTTAAAATTAATTTTTTTTTCATTATAGGCAGTTTTTGAGGATCCTCGAGTTGAGTTTTTTCAAGCTAATCTTGTCAATCCTGGTATGAAATTTATTTTGCTCATCAATCTTCAATCTTTTTTAAATCATTATTAGAAATTGTGTTTATAGGTGACCTTTAACTTGATTAGCTCTTTTAAATAGAAAGTATAGAATAGAATAGAGATAAGTATATTTTCAATGTAATTTTCACATTGTCTAATCCAGGAACATTAGCCTAATAATAGAAAGTTAGATTTGAAAAGTAATAATCTCTCTCCCTTTCCTCCTATTTTATTCATCCTAAATTCTCCCAAAATCAGTATATTTTAGGGTGTCCCAAAACAATTTTGAAAAATATATGCTGCCACCCCATTAATGTGTTCTATATGATAAAAAAACACTGGTTTTAAAAAAAATTTTGAGTTAAAAATATTTTAGGGGTCCCCAAGACCTTTGAACATATAATATCTTCCTAAAATTATCAAAAAAATTCTTCAAAAGTGTATCATGTTGGGTCTCAAATGAAGCAAAATTGAATAAAAATTTTAAAAATGATAACTGTGTTATAAAAAAAAGTATGTTAGATTTAACAGTATTAAAAATGAAGTTTTTTTAACTAAAAAAAAAAAAAAGTGCATCTTAATAAGTTTTTTTTCAATATTTTTTTATTATATAATTTCAAAAATGTTGTTTTTTGGGACACCCTAGTACAATTATTCAGTAATGATAAGCAATTTTATATATAAACATTCAACCAATATATGATAAAATGGGTGTTTAAGCATAATATGGTTTTTCTTTAAATGATCTTTATTTTTATTAAACAATCTTTATTTTACAAGTTAAAATTTATTTGGTCATTAGCTAACTTGTGAAAAAAATATCAGTTTACTTTAGAAATTGCAATCAGTAATAAGTGAGTAGCAAGAAATATAGAGGCTATATATAGTAACTATAGTAACTTTAATTTTTATTGCAATTTCTTTTGTGAATGATACTGCTTTTGAACTTAAATATTCATTTTTTATAAATTATTCATCAGTTCAAATTAAAATGTTGCATCTAGATAAAGGGTTGTCAATGTCACACAATTTTTGATGCCCTCCCCTGTCCCTTGTCACAACATTGTAGCTCTAAATTAACAAGTTTATAAAACAACGTTTTTATTTGTTTTCTTTTACTAATCATCAAGGCAAATATAAAATTTTACAGAATTTTAACAGAAGTTCAAATAAATGAATATCAACTTTCTAAATTAATGAGTGTTGTCTTTCTAAAAATAAGTACCTGTGCATTTTTAAAGTTGGGGTTGTAAGTGTAATAATATAATAAAAGCCATGTCATGTTGTACCAAAGTTGTCAGATTTTTAGCTTGTATAGCAAAATGCATTTTAAACTGAGTCTTGTTTAATAATATAATGATTTCAAAATCACCTTAAATTATATATTGTACTATATCTTTCTCTAACTAAAAACTGTTTTTCTAGTCTGGTGTAGCTTGTTTTAATGCTTTGTGATGGATTGTTTTCAATAACAAAAAAATCTTTTGGGAAAGTTTTAAAAACTGCTGAAAAAATCCTGGGTTTTTGTAATAAAAATTGTGTATGTTCACTGTATTGCTTGTATTTGCTGTATTTTCTTTTTGTGACTACTATTTAAATGTTAAACCACCAAACATTGTAATTAATTGTGTACAGAAAACAAAGTAGCAGCTTTAAGTTTTTTTCGTCTAATAATTTTATGATGTTCAGCAATAATCATTTTTTAAACAGGTTCTTATTAATTTAATTTGTCTTTTTGAAATTCTTTTGATTTTATAAATTCTTTATTTCATGCTCTTGCTAATTCCAATTGTTATAGAAATCATAAACAAGTAGTTTTGGAGTTGATTGTAAAATTACTTGTTTAATGGATTCAAGTTTAAGTTTATTATTTTTGTTAAATTTTATTTTTATTCTTTAGCTCATGTGGAACGTGTTTTTGCAACAAATGGTTTTTTATTTGACTATGTTATCAATCTTGCATCTGAAACTAGATATGGACAAGGAGATGAGGTAAATCCATAGGTGACATCATATATTTATGTGATTTAAAAAATGACTTTTTTAAAAAAATGTCTGCAGGCATCCCCTAAATTGGTTCTATATAATAAAAAAATACTGGATTTAAAAAATATTTGAATAAAAAATATTTTTGGGGGTTGCTACAGATGGTTCTAATGAGTCCCTAATATTAAAAAAAAGTTTTTTGAAAGTATGTTATGTTGGGTCTCAAATTAAGTAAAATTATATAAAAATATTTATCCTTATTATAAAAATATTTATTCTTATTATCAGAAAATATTTATTTTTATTATCAGATCTTATTGTCAATAAATTTTGTTTTTAATGTTACAAATGTTGTTAAGGTGTATACTGAACACATATATAATCTTGGAGTGAATGTTGCAACCAAGTCAGCTTCTTGTAAAGTAAAGCGATATATAGAATTATCCACAGCACAAGTGTATGAAAGTGATAAGGTATTAATTAGTGATAAGATTTTAATGTTAAATTTATTTAAGTACACTTTTTGATTTATTTTGTTATAAAACACACAAATCAGGGAATAAAAAAATGACAATTGTGCAAGCTGAGGATGATAAATCTAAAAAAAAAAATGGATTCCAGTGTGCCTATGGCTGTGTATTTCTAGTAATTCAGGCCTTGTTAATAAGCATTAGGCTATATGCATTTTACATACAAAATGGCAATTTCACCTACACATTCAATAATTTACTTTAAGCTAAAACTTTATCTCTTGGAATATTTAAACTGTTTTTTGATATTGTTTATGCAGCTTTTATTTTGGATAACATTAAGTTGTAATTAATTATTGTTAGAAACATGTTAACTGCAATTGCAAAGTAATTTATTATTTATAATCTTTTTTAACTACTAAATTTACATTTAATTTTGAATGTGGTTTAAAATTAAATCTAAATTACAAAACGTACTTCAAATATGCTAATGATGCAATTTAAATTTTAACAATATAAACCTTAAAGCTGAATTAAGTTACATGTGTTTAGCGTTTTCGTTATGCAACGAAATCTTGTAACAAGGCCTGGTAATATTAGGCTAATCCTTGAGCTCCAAAGAGTTTTTTAAACTTAATAAAAAACAGCGCTTGAAGTAACAGCTAGTCAAATTTAAATCTTTTAAAAAAATTTAAAACAAATTTAAATCTTTTTCAAAAAAAATAAACAATAAAAACACTACCCAATATTGGATAATTTTTTATAACATCAACGTAAAGCTGCAATTCTTTGTTCGGATAGATTGTAAAATATGTTTTTGTATTTGAAATTAAAGCCAACTCTCTACCAAACTTATTAAAACAACAGCGTCGAAGATCATCAAGATCATTCTGAGATTTTTCAAAAAACCTTGCAATCATTAAAATTTTCTCGATAGTGGTTTAAAAAAAAACAAGTTCAGAAGAATCTTTCTTGGAAAAACTGTTTTGGCCTAAAGTTGATCATAATAATATAGTTTAGCAAGAAACTTCTGTAACTTTTTTTATTTATATATTTTCTACTTTTTCTTGATGATAAATACAGTTGTTGCTTGTATTACGTTGGAGGTTCAAGAACACTTATTTTTACAATATTTTATTAACAATATTATTTACACTTATTTTACAATACTTTATTTATAATATTTTATAATATTTATATTTAATATTTAACATATATTTACAAGTTTCTGACAATTTCGCTTGCAGGCTCCACCCATTCACCTTCCACCCATTCACCTTCCGTTTTTCATTTTATTTCTTTTTAAATATTACTAAAAGTATTTATAATACAAAACTAGATCAATAAAAATAATATATAAGACAAAACTACTAGAAATAAATTGAAAAAAATCAAAAAATATATATAATTTTGAGAAAGCCCACAAAATAAAGCTGAGATATCATCAAAATATAAATGTAATAATTTACTTTTAGAGATTCTACTTTTTTATATAAAACACAAATTTTCTGTTTAATTTAACAAAAAATTGATTTCACTTAATACAAATTTGTTTAAGTACTTGAGTCCTTTATTTAAGTAATTAAGTTACTTGAAGCAGCCCTTATGTACCCCATTTCACCCTTGACATAAAACAAATGGGTTTTTTTTCAAAACATTTTAAATTTTTTAACTTTAATCCTATAGGATTTTTTTTGTCAATAATAATTTTTATTGCATTTCCCCACATTGCAAAAATTATTTCAATTTAAATTAGTTATTTTTTTGATGACTTTTACTCTATGTCCTCTACTTAAACCTGTGATATTTTTTTATAATTTTGATTATATATATCTTAATTAAAGTATCACTTTTTTTGTATAACTTTGATTATATATACCTTATAGAAAGTATGACTTTTTGTATAACTTATATATATATATCTTATAGAAAGCTAGCGATGAGGAAGGAAAGTTAAATCCATGGACTTCATTAGCTATTTTTAAACTGAAACTTGAAAAGAAGCTGCGTGAAATTGAGGGGTGATTTTTATTTTTTGTTCCTTATTTGAAATTTTACTAATAAAATATATTGCAGGCTTGATGCAGTTGTTGGAATTGCTGAAACCTCCAATCTCAGGTTTTTGAGTTCCAAACTACTAATAATGTTCTGTAACAATAAAAGTTTTAGTTTTCTTAGAGTTTCCTTAAGAATAGTAAGGATATTAATTAACACCTGTTTTATTTTATGGTTGTAATCTTATATGTGTACGAATCTGAAATTAAGTTAATATTTCACAACTTATTACTTACTATTATAAAAACATCATATATACATATGAGACATTTTCTTCAGTCCAGAATTCATTATTTTGTTATTGTTTGGAAAATAGGAAAAGCTCTGTGTAATTCAAAGTAAAAATAATTTATTACAGTTTATTGAGATAAAAGTCTTATCATTTATCAACAGTTATATTTATTAATCTGTGTACATCATCTACAAAAAGAATTGACCTCTATTTTCTTTCTATTGCATCATGCAATAGAAATAATATAATAGATTTGCAATAAATTTATATATATTTGAAACAAAAAAACATCTTTTAAACTATCTAGCATTGCTGTTCATTTTATCAATAGTTGTTTGATTCAGAGTTTGATTTCCAAGGATTTCTGTGTATAACATGGTTTAAATATAAAATGAAAATGTTAAAACGAATGATTCATTTAAATTCTGAATAAAATAATAAAAATTAAAAATTAAAAAACAAATGTTTTATTTAAATTCTAAATAAAATTATTTATAAAAAATATGACAAATAGCGACTTTTCTATTAAAATTTTGAATAAAATATACACGAAAAAACAAAAATTTATTTAAATTCTGAATAAAATAAAAAGAAATAACAGCAAAACTAAAACATTACTTAAATTCTAAATAAAGTAATTAAAGTAAAAACAAAAAACAAAAAAAGTTTTATTTAAAGTGATCAAATTAGTTTAAACTAATTTGTTCACTATTTAAATAAAACGTTTAACTGTGTACATATTTTTTTTTTTTTTGTTATTTTTGTTATTATTGTTGTGTACTGTTTTGGGTGTATAGCCTGTCTTATTTATTTTTAAATATTCCTCTATTAATCTTTATTTTTGTCTTGACAACTATCAAAATATGCTTTGTCTAATAAATAATTCTCCTTTATTCTAATGTACTTCATTTCTTCCCTCAGGCGTTCACTGCTCATGTGTGACCATTTGGCAAAATTTTTATGCCAAAGTTTTTAAATAAAAATAAATATTTTAATTAAATTCTTAACTTATATTAATACTTAAAAAAAAAAAGCTTTAAAAAAATTAAATAAAATAAAACAGCAATGATGATGCCCTTTCTCTTTTAGACAAGGTGCAAAAACGCATTGTAAACATAGTTGGACCTACTCTTGCAGCCAACCTTCAACCTCTGTCACATCGTGGTAATGTTGCTTCTCTTTCTCTTTTCTACAAATACTATAATGGGCACTGCTCGAAAGAGCTAGTGTCTCTTGTGCCATCTACTAAAATTCATTCTCATGTTACTCGTCATTCAATTAAGTCTCATCCTTTTTCTGTTACTGTTCCTAAGTGCTCCAAAAACTCTATTCTTCTAGCTTTTTTCCTCGAACATCAGTTCTTTGGAATTCGCTTTCTTCATCTTGCTTTCCTGATTCATATAATTTGCAATCTTTTAAGTTGTCTGTCAATCATTATCTTGCTCTAAAATCTTCATCTTTTCTCTTCCAGTAACTTCCAACACTAATTAGTGGTTGCTTGCAGCCTTGTTGGAAGCGAAGATAATTAAAAAAAAAAATTTAAAACAAAACAGTTACATTAAAAACAAAAAAAAATAAATTGTTTTATTTATTCTAAATAAAATAATTATAATAAAATCAACAAAAGTTTCATTAGCATTTCCATTCAATATTCTTGAAATTTTCATTAAATATAGCTAATAATATTATTTATCTGAATATAAGTACATTTTTTTAGATAACAAATAGTTATTTAAATTAAACTTGCATATAAAATTAAAATATTGCACAAAATGTTAATAATTAACATTAATAAAACTAGTGTCCCTAAACATTTTAAAACCCATTTTCATTAGTTTTTTGCAAAAGTTCATCTTATAACTAGTAAGTGACCAAAGTTGATATTTGATTGGGGTCAGGTTTGATAAAATATAGCCGGGGCCGGGTTTGTGACTGGGGCTGCATAAACATTTATGCATCCTAAAGTATATTTTTTTATTCAAAATTCATGTTCAATTTTGTATATATATGCATATATAAAAATCATTATGATCAACATGATCATCATTATCATCAATTACAATCATCATCATCAGGCTTTAGCCTTCCTCTTTTATGCTGTGTCTCTAATATAAACAATTTAGAGCTTTTTTTTTTTAACTAAAGCTCATTTATATTTATGTAAGGCAATCTCTTTAAGTTTTCTTACTTCTACCACTACCATTTTCTACTGAAAATGATAGTGGTAAGTTCTTTTTTATTTTTAGCAAATACTACATCATATAAATACTAAAGTTTATATAACAATGAAAGGATATTGCCAGCATCTAAATAAATGACAAACATATATGTTTATATCCATATAATGTATGCATAAAGCACATCTTGGAAGCTTTTTTCCTTCTTTTCAATTTAAAGTCAAGCCTCATTCTACTCCACATTTTTCACCATCTTGAGCAGTTGCTTTATCAAACATTAATCATTTTTTTAATCTCTCTTAAGAACAAATGTCCTTTTATTATTGCAAGAAGCCAATGTTAAAAAATCCTGTCTGATGTTAAGCTCTGTTATTCTCAGTTTACTAAATCTTGTATCTTATCTCAGATGTTAGGTTCTAGAGACTTTTGGTTAGTCTTTAACTGTGTCATTAACTAAAATAAGTCTAACATTAAATCTCAAATTCATGGGTCTTATCTTTTTTCTTCTCCCCTATATAAAGCAGGGTTATTTGCAAAAAAATCTTACTCTAATTTGACTCTTGAATATAATGACCATACTCTTTCTGACAGTTAAATAGATTAACCCATGGTTTCAAGATTTGTGACATGGTAACAAGATTTCCATCATAGTCTTAAAAAGTATTCTCCAGAACTCTCTTCAATTTTTGGTAAGTTTTTAAAAAGTGCTAAATAAGTGGTTCCAATATTTCAAAACTCTAGAAAACACTTTGACCTCTCCTACTATCCTACAATTAGTCTTCACTATGTTATTAGTTTATTTATATAAAGGTTTTGAGGTTGTTAAATTATTTCTTTCTAACTGCAGTGGTAAAGTTATTCTTGAAGACCTACCCTCTTCTTTATCTTTGCTCCTGTTTCTCATTTACAATAATGATCTTCATGAAATCTAAAGTGGCTCTATTTGCTGACAACTCAACTTTATACTCTTGCCTTGACTAAAAATCTTCACTTTTTAATTGCTTAGAACAAGCAGCTGATTTTAAATCTGATCTCTCTTCTGTAACAGACTTGCAGTTTTAAATTCTAGACTTAAAATCTACTATTTTTGTTAGACAACAAAACTCATTTATTTACTGCAAAAAAACACTCAGACTAAGTCTAAAAGCATATTTTAAATGTAATTAGACCTGAATTATCTGCCAAGCTTGAGCCACTCTCCCATTATTGTAAGGTTGCATTTCTTTCTTTTTTTTACAAATACAATCATGGTCAATGCTCAAACAAGCTATAAAGCTATAAAGGTAAACTAAAACTCATTCTTGTTTGGCTTTTTATTCATCAAGTTGCAACTTTTTACTGTATCTGTCCCTTCATGCTATAAAAACTATTATTAATCCAGTTTTTTTCCTTGCACATCAAAAAAACCTTATAACTCTTACCCATCTTGTTTTCCTTTTTAATACAACTTGTAATTTTTAAGTCTTCAGTTATATGTTTACTAGTATTTTAACTTATTCTCTATTTTAAAATAACTCATAACTTAATAGTGGTTGCTTTGCAATCTTGTTGGAAGTAAATTGGAGTTTAAAAATATATAAATGTATGTCAGTATTTAATAAATAGTAAATGTAAGCATAAAATATCATATATTAAGTATTATAAATTTGTTTCTAGCCCTGGCTATCAACCTCTGCTTTTCTATCAAGTCGTTGATAGAAAAGCAGCGTTGATAGAAAAGCAAAATCTTATAATTTTGCCGGGGCCAGAGCCCTAGTCACTTACTACTTATAACACAGAAATTTAATTATTTTACAAAAAGATAAAAATCATAACCATAAAATACGTATGCATGTATGAATGTATGTATGTATGTATGTATGTATGTATGTATGTATGTATGTATGTATGTATGTATGTATGTATGTATGTATGTATGTATGTATGTATGTATGTATGTATGTATGTATGTATGTATGAATGTATGTATGTATGTATGTATGTATGTATGTATGTATGTATGTGTATGTATGTATGTATGTATGTATGTGTGTATATATATGTGTGTGTGTGCATGTGTGTATACGTAGTTTGGTTTGCATATATCTTCAGGAGAGTACTTGATGTATTAAATTAAAATTAAATTAAATTAAAACAGAGCTGTATTTATATATTTTTTATAAATAAAACTACATATTTTTTACAACTATTAGTTTCATGCTAAATGCAATCATCAGGTAAGAAATCCTCGACCCTGAACCCTGAAGGATTTTTTACCTAATGATTGAATTAAGCATGAAACTAATAGTTGTAAAAAATTTGTAGTTTTCATGTTGACTGTTAGAGACTAGAAAAGGATTATGAAAAAAATACTTTTCTGTTTACTTATATAATACATGAGTATAGGGAAAGGTGTTGTATCTTGAATACAAATCACATTTTTGTAGAAGAACTTAGAAAAACTTGTTTTTAAAAATTAAAAACAAAAATAAATTATTTTATTATAAAATCATAGCCGCGTATGTTTCCAAATATTGTAAATTTTGGACATTCTTTGGACTAGCATACCTTTTTTGAAGAATTACAATATTGTGAAGAAATAAATATCGTTTCAAGGTACACCTGTCTTGTACCTTGAAAAATACCATGCTGTATCTTGAAACAGATAGTGATAAACAAAAAAACAGATAAACAAAAAAATAAAAATAAAGCTTTTATTATCATTAACTACAAATTGTACAATCTATACTTTTATTATAATTATGAATCATTTGTTTATGAAAGTCTAGATATACTATTTTTATCTTGAAATATATAAATTTATGGTTCATAAATCATTCTTTTGATTTCATGATCTTATATTATTAAAAATATATTACCATATGCGTACTTATTACATATTAAAAATATATTAAATCATATGCATACCTTAAAACGTAATTAAGGCACAACAATGTAGTGTTTTTCAAGGTGCAACAATGCCTATATTCAAATACAATTCAGCATAAAAAAAATTGAGGTTGTATCTACATGCTCCTCTAATCTGTTTTAATGATATATATTTCTGTTTTAATGATATATATTTCTATAATTGCGTTATCAGAATAAACATAAAATTTTATACTTACGTATACGCACAGCGATAATTGATATTTGAAGGGGAAAAAAACTTTTTTTTGCACAAAAGGGAAACACATCAAATAACTTCAAAGCAAACTATTTTTTATAATTCAAAATAGGATTTACACGCCTTCAAGCAGCAAGTACTTTAAACAGTATATATCATTTTCTTGAACACAACCCAGAATGCTGGGTTTTCAAAAATGTGTTAATGTAAAATGTATTCAGGGTACAACACCTTACCCTATAGAAAATATATTCATATATAATTAAATATTTTTTTGTTTATTTGTAGGTTAGATTATGTTATTATCCGACCAGCACTTGTATATGGTATTAGTGACAAACATAGCTTAAGTATGTTTTAAAAGTTAATAATTTAGTAACAATTTAACATTATTTTAAAATTTATTGATATTTTAAGTGTATAATTGTCTTTTTTTTAAAAAACAAAATTATATATTCTTTTGTTGCTTTATATTTATTAGATTTTTTACAAATAAAATTAAATGATATAAAAAAATCAATGTGTTAGGGATACTGCAAATTTTGGTGCAATTATCACTTGTTCTGTTATTAAATTTATTAATATCAAAATCAAATATTTCCTCCATTAACACATGAATCTACTGCTTTATTGCAACATTTTTTCATTTTTTAATCTTATTTTTAAACATGCTCTTGCACTTGTTTTATATTGGCACAAACATTTTTACTATATTTGCTTTTGCAATTTGTTTTGGGTGTTGTGTTATTCCCGAAACTAGCTTTATTATTTGTTATACATAAGTGACCAAGTACTTCTTTAAGGCCAAGAAGGCTCCTATAGTTAAGGAAGCTACTTTTATATAGTGTATTGCATTTATAGATAATATTTTTATTTTTTATTTTTAGCCCCGCGACTGATAATTGGAGCTGTTTACAAACAACTTCAAGAAAAAATGAAGGTTGGTTGTCATTGTTTAACCGTCATTGTGATTCAGAATAATTTAATGCTTTTTATAATCTTTTTATGATTTTATGTTGAAGTTTTTATTATTTTATATTTAAAAATACATAATGAATGTATGTCTCATTTATATAGTTTTTTATATTTAACACAGTTACTATGGAGTAAAGATTTAAAAATGAACACAGTTCATGTAAATGATGTTGCTATAGCTATTTGGTTTTTATGTACTCATGGCAAGAAAGGCGATGTTTATAATTTAGTAGACAAGCAAGATTCAAGTAAGAATGCTTTCTTTTTTTTGTTTTTTGTTTTGTTTTGTTGTTGTTATTATTATTCTCACATAGACTCAATCTAGAAAACTTAAAAAACCTGGAAAGCCTAAAAAACCCAGAAAACTCTAAATTTTTTTTTAAGTTTTAAACTTGAGGAGAAATATTCAATGAATGTTTTATAAGTTATAATTGTTGTTATTTAGAATTTTGAATTTAGATTAAAAAAAAAAGTTAATATGCACATTTTAGATGCCTATTACAAAAAAATTACAAAGTTAAAAGCAACAAAAATATTTTAAAATATACACAATATCATTGTATATATGATATATATATATATATATATATATATATATATATATATATATATATATATATATATATATATATATATATAGTCAGCGAAATTCAAAGGATTTTAGGTCGGCACAAGTGTGCCAACCATAGCCAACATCTGGTCGTCAAAAAAAAAAAAAGGAATTTTTGCTTTCTGTTACGATAGGGGTAATGATTAATTGATTATAAAAGGATTGCTTTATAATAGCATAGCTTTAGACAATAATATTTTAAAGAATGTAGCAGTTAAATTTTGTGTTGTAAATTAAGTATATAGCAAATTTATAATTAAGTAATTTTTTAGTTTTGAAGTTGTTTTTTATTACAAAAAAATGGTCATAGTTTAACATTTTGATTGGTTTTTTAGATTGCTTATAGAAAGAACGTTGGTTAGAAATACAAATTTAGTTTATGTGCTGTAGGCGATGATTTTGTTTCAAACGGCAAATTGTTTAACAAAATGAGTAGACAGTAAACATCCGGTTGTTTAACCTTTACAAGAAATTAGCATTTATTTCTCCATTAGTAGGGTGGTGATTTTCAATATTTAATTGTAGTATAGTATGAACTTGTAACTAAATGTAAATTGATGGAGGGAAAACAAAAGTTAAAAATACTAAAAATAGTTTTTTTTTTTTAATATGTAAACATTGTTTTGAGTTAGCTTACTGTATTACTGTTGTTTCAATTTAATGGATTAATGTTGTTGCGATTTAATAAAAGCCTAAACTTCTATCAAATTAAAAAAAAGTTTTGTAACTAATGTTTCTTCTCCGCATGTTTCTAACATAATTATAACAAGGCTAAACTTTCCTAATATACTTTCTGATCTTAAATAGTTCTAAACATGTAAATTAATTAATTAGTTACGTGGTTTTAAGTAAAAAAATAAATTAAAATTAGATTTTTTATCTTAATAAAATAATAATTGCACTTAAAAAGCATGAGAACAACAGGCATTTAAAAAGTAATATTTTTTAACTTTGCTATGCTTGAATAAATTTGAGAAAAAAAGAAAAAACGGATTGAAAAAAAATGAATGAATATTTGTTTTAATAAAACATGTCAAACTTGAAAAGCAAGTAATTACAATGAAAAAATTATAAAATAATATTTAACGAATATTAGATATTTTTTACATGTATTTCAATTTGCATGCCGACACTTTAAAATATTCAGGTCGGCAGAGTTGCTCTCGATGTTGAGTATACTCTTCTTTATGTTTAAATCTATTCCATGTAGGTTTCAATTTAGAATGAAACCTTTACACTGTTCAGCAAACTGACTGTAGACTGTTTAGAAAACTTGGATGATAGGAGTCTTGGGTAAGAAATATTTTAGTTTAACAATACTAACTAATACTCAGTCATTAGAGTTTAACTTGAACAAAAAATTTTAAAGTCTTCCATACACTGAACTATAGGACTAAGAAGAGAAAACTAAGGTGTAAAGGTGTATTAAAAAGCTCAACCTGTTTACTTGAGACTGTTTGCTAAACAATGTGGATTTAAATCTACATGAAATAGATTTAATGTAGAAGAGTATATTCAATGTAGAAGAATATATTCAACATCGAAAACAACTCTACTTTTAATGGAAGAAGAGTTTAATTTAATAATAAAAAACTATTCAATTTTTCTTTGATTATGCACCATATATACATTGTTATTATATATATTTATAAATATTTTGTTCTTTTTAACTTTTTTTAATTTATTTGAAGTTTAATTTATATATTTATTTTTGGTAATATGCATTTAAAATGCTTAAATAGGCTAAGACCCCTTTCAAATTTACCCCTTTTGCTTTAATTATGATTCTTAGCACGTTGTTCAGATTTAAAAACAACTTTTATATTGCTACAAAATACTCTTCAACAAAAAAGGTTTCATTTGAGTGACACAATGTAAAACCTGGTGGACTCTTAGGCCACTTATGATACTTATATTTATTTTTAAGGAAAAAATTTTACTCAATAAAAAACATTTAGATTTACCTGTATTGTAGTTATTATTGTTTATATTTATTTACTACAAAAGTAGTATAAATGTAGTAATACTTTTGTAGTATTAATTTAATTATTTTTATTTTATTATTAATGGGTAATTAGTATTACTTTATATTATTGTTTATTTGTTTATATTAAAATTCTGTATTGTTAAAATGAAAAATTCTTCAAAATAAAATTAAGAAAGTGTCTTGGGTTTCCAATCTAACATTTACAAATCATTGTGAGTGATTTTTTGATTAATCCACACACTAGTCTGCATTGACAAATTTATAAACCTCTTTAACAATTATAAACATTTTTTTTTTATTGTTATTAGATTTGGGAATACAATTCTGTTAATTTTGTTTTAATATTGTTTTGTAGCACAAGGAAGTATCAGTGAATTGGTATGTCAAATTTTTGGAATAAAATATGATTTCTTTGGATCTGTTATTTCAAATGTAGCAAAGGTTTGATATCTTTAATTGTGTTTAGATTGTTTTTACTTATAAGTTAATATTTGTCATTCAATTCTAAATATTTTATTATATGTAATGATTTAATTATTTGTAATGTTTATTATTGTAATAAAATGAGTCTTTCTATGAAATCAGTTAAAATCTTTCTATATAATCAGCTCAGTTAGTGATATAAAAAAACTTGAAATCCAGACAAAAATGTTATAAGTGGTAAGCAAAAAACTTATTAGCTGATATAGATATTACGTGGTAAACCTTTGTTTCATAGTTTCTTGCTTGGGTGATAAACACTGGATCTTTTTGACTTATGGATTTTTGCTTGTGCCTCAGGTAGTGGCTATGCAACTCTTGTAGTTATCTTCTATTGAGGATGCAACTCTAAATCTCAGTTAAATTGTTTTGAATTTGGCTGCAAATATGGTTTCTTTTTTGTTTTATCATTCTTTTTTTTTTCCCCAAAACTACAATCTTTTCGATGTTTCTAATAAATTGACGAAGCCCTTTCTCAATTTTCCTCAGCCAATAATGTTGTTATTGGTAACTGGTTATTTAATGCTAATCACGGTATATGACTAGGCTCTAATACCACTTACTCAAGAACTAAAGCTCAAAACTTTTGTCTTTTTCAATCTCGTAGATAATTAACTTTGTGACTCATTTTCTAGACAACCCTATTCACTTACCTTCATTCCTTCATTTGTGTCTTGTCTTTGACCAGTTTCTCCTTGTTCTTTTTTAGGTGGTTCAAATCATGCTATCTCACTAAAACTTTTAAATCATACCTCTTTTACATCAGATTCAACCTATCAAAACACTCCTTACAACTTTTTTACATTAGATTCAACCTATCAAAACACTCCTTACTACTTTTTTACATTAGATTCAACCTATCAAAACACTCCTTACTACTTTTTTACATTAAATTCAACCTATCAAAACACTCCTTACTACTTTTTTACATTAGATTCAACCTATCAAAACACTCCTTACTACTTTTTTACATTAGATTCAACCTATCAAAACACTCCTTACTACTTTTTTACATTAGATTCAACCTATCAAAACACTCCTTACTACTTTTTTACATTAGATTCAACCTATCAAAACACTCCTTACTACTTTTTTACATTAGATTCAACCTATCAAAACACTCCTTACTACTTTTTTACATTAGATTCAACCTATCAAAACACTCCTTACTACTTTTTTAAATTAGATTCAACCTATCAAAACACTCCTTACAACTTTTTTTACATTAGATTTATTTTACCAATACACTCCTTACAACTATTCTTTTTTACATTAGACTTATTTTACCAATACACTCCTTACAACTATACTATTGCAGTTCTTACTACTTCTTACTACTGCAAGATTCTTTTGTTTGTAACTGTCCCTGGGATTATGTTTTTTATCTTTGCTGAAAAATGCACCCTCTTTACAATCTCCAGGCTTCAGTAGGCTTTTATTACCCCTTGTAGTTTTTAAGTCAAGCTTCACTCTGCCTGTTTTTCTCTTTTTTGTGCAACTGTCAATCTTCTTACAATTATTTGCATATTATTTGAATATTTATAAAAAATTTTTTGAATATCTTATCTTATGTCTTTGTGTTTTGAATATCTCATCTTGTGTCTAAAACTCTCTGACAATCAAAAACTATTTGGAAAAAACAGAACTATTTGGAAAAAACCTTCATATTTTGAAACTAATGGCCTTACTTTTCATGTTAAAAATTTATAATCTTTTATCTTGTGCCTCTCTGACAGTTAATACAAATATCAATCCTCTTATTCTACTGCTGACTTGTTAACTGTTATAATAGTAAGATTCCACTGTGCATTAGATGGCATGAGGCAAGTAATCTTGACATATCAAAAACTTGATAAAGTAGGCTTTGCTTCAAATAGTTTATTTGTAAAAGTTTTTAAAGTCATTGAAACATTCTTATCCCATAAGTTTGATTGATTATAAATGTTACAACATATTTAATAAGTGTGTTATACAATGTGTTATTAAAGTTTTTACAACAGTAATGAATGATCACTTGCTATTCTGCTTTAAAGTTTTTCTTTAAAGGAATAGTCATGAGCTATCTGTGATATTCAATAATCTGAAATATTAACTGTCGTTCAGGTTCATCAATTGTTAGCACATTATTGAAGTCTGTTGCTAACTTAACAGCACGCTCAGCACAGTCATTGGTGACTTTCATGCTTGCTATTTTTTGCTTGGCAGTGAGATAGACAGGAAAGAAAACCCATGCAGCTGGATTATAAGTAAGAAAAATAGGTTCATTTTTAAGCGCAGTGAACAGATTCATTGATCTTTGAGTAACAAAATCTGACTAAGTCTTTTCCTGAAAGTTGTCAACTAATTTTGAATCAACTCTTCTGAGATCAGTTTTCATTGGTGATTTCTTCAGAGCAACAATCATAGCCTCTTTCTTACTATTTGGAACCAAGTCAGAAAATAATGCAAGTCCAATCAAATCTTCGCTCAAATACCGCATATGTCCTCTCATTTTTTAAATTGCAATATCTGCTACTTTTTTGTCTACAGCAAGATAAGACTCAAAAGTTTGGGGTAGACAAAGGTCATTGTATGGAGCATCAGAACTGTTTGGAGCTTTAAGCCAAATTTTTGCATAAATCGTAATAATAAAAAGACAGACGAAGACCTGGTAGTTCGTATGCTGTAAGTTTGAATTGTCTACGGAACAAATAGATTTTAAGACAGTATATTCCTTTTGCCATCCATCTGGCACGATGATAGGCACCTGGAGCACTGAAATGAGTCACATCATAATTTTCACCCAATGTGATTAGGGTCAGTTGTATGAGCTCCAGGTAATCTTTTTGTGGTTTATTTTTATGGGAGAGTTGATTACTAAGAAATTCTGACATATTTTTCTTCTTTTGGTTTAGGCATATACATTCACCAACTATAAGTTCAACTGTGACTTCAATGCCAGAAGTCTCAATTGTACTATATTGGGTAGTGTCAATAAGTTTCCAGTGCTTTTCAAGCCAACGAAATATTCCAATCTGTGGTCCTGAAGACTGGAAAAACTGGTCAAATACTACAGCCAAAATAATTTCAAGGATATGATGTCTGCAGGCTAAAAACCTCATCAATAGTATTCGAACAGCTTTGTGAAAGTTCCATTTTGTTTGTTTTCAAGTCATAAATAAGGTGACGTAGAACAAGACGAACTTTAGGCAGACAGCTTAAACAACTTACTTTATTTAGAACTGGTAATTGATGACCAATTAGCTACACATTAGTGTCACATCTTGTTTTAATGACCTTCTTCTTTGACATTTAGATTTTTTTTTTTCACTAAAAATACAAAATTTATATAAGGTACATATTCACATAGACATATAAATATTTTTGTCATTAATCAAATTAATTGAAACTTAGATGAATTGGCTTTTTTCCATAAGGCATACCTAGATTAAATCAATTACCAATTAAAACAAACATAGTTGTAAACAAAAGTTAAATTAACAATATACAATATACAAATGAGTTATTTTATCAAATTTAGTAGATTAGTTGACTAAACCAGATAAATAAAGTTAATTGAGATGTCTCTTAATGTTGGAATAATGTCATGAAATTTTGTGGAGTTATTTTTTTCATCAATTAACATCATTTAAACACCTAGCCAAATAACTTTTCAAATTTTTTTTTTTGAATTGGTCTAATATATATATATATATATATATATATATATATATATATATATATATATATATATATATATATATATATATATATATATATATATATATATATATATATATATATATATATATATATATATATATATATATATATATATTTTTTTATATATATATATATATATATATATATATATATATATATATATATATATATATATTTATATATATATATATATATATATGTATATATACATACATACATAAATGCATACACTAAATATATAAAAAATAAAATATCCTAGCTCCGGCTAATAACCCCTGCTAAAATTTTTTTTAGCCAGGGCCAGGGTTGTAAAATAAACCCCAATGTTTGGCTGGGGCCAGGGCCCCAGTAACTTCCTATCTAATAAGGTCATTTTTCTGTAAATATTAACTATAAATCTAACTGTAAACTTTGGACCTGCATAAGCTTTCATCCTTGAGCCTCTGTCTCATCAATGGTAAGTTTGGAATTCTTTTTTTTTTTTTTTTTTACAAATACTACCATAGTCGCTGCCCTAGCAAGCTATCATCAATTGTTCCATCAAACAAAACTTAATCTTGTGTGGTTTATATATATATATATATATATATATATATATATATATATATATATATATATATATATATATATATATTATGTTATTAAGTCACATCCTTTTACTTTTATCTTTTTGTTTTCTGCTAATTCTAATAAGCAACTTAATCAGTTGCTTATTTAGTTTTTGTTATCTAATTCGAAATATTTGACAGTCTTTTAGGGTCCTATTTTTGACTATAAATAACTATCAACTACAAATGTCAATTAACACTTTTGATAAAATGTGATTCGTAAATATCTCTTAGAAAAAATTGCATTAAAAATATTTGTTGATCTATTTATATCAATCTAACAGTGAGTTTAACAGGTTATTTTTATTTTTTTTTAAATTGTATAAGGCCTTGTAGGACTTTGTAACAACAGAATCACAACTTTGATTTTAAGTTAGTGGCTGATAGATAAGAATAAGTCATCGTATAATATATAAATATAATGTGGTAATAACTGTATCTGTTGTACTACTTGTATAAATCACCTGACTTAACAACTTCATGAATCACCGATTTCACTAGAATTTTTGTTTCAGCAAAATCAATTGAATATCTTGATAACGTTTTTTAATTGTTAATCTTGAAAAGAGTCGGTTTTCTAGACTACCTTTTTATTCACAAAATGCTGCAAAACTGTTCCATTTAGATATTTTCTCCTTTTTTTTATTTTACTTTTAAATTTGATTTAAATTATAAAAAAATTAAAGTTTTTCTTCATTTAACATTTAAAAAAGATATTAACTTAACTTTTAAGAAAGATATTAACGTAGAAAAGACACACAAAAATTTTAAAATTAAGTAGTTTTTTTGCTGTTATATTTAAAAATTTCGATTCTTTTCATCTCACACTTATAAAAAAAAAAAATGAAGTTAAAAGTAAAGTTAATTTTTTGATTTCAATTTTTGTACTCACTGAGTGTAGGTGATTTTCTGAGAAGAGACTAAAGCAGCTATCAGTTAATTTGTACAACAGTAAAAAATTTATTCAAACTTTTTAATATGTGATCTTTAATAGCATGTATAATTGCATTTATGTATGCATCCACGTATATGTATGTATGTATACATCCACGTATATGTATGTATGCATCCACGTATATCTATGTATGCATCCACGTATATGTATGTATGTGAAAATCTTTAACAATTTAAAAATAAGATTTAATTGTTTTTGAATATATTTTCAGTTGAATATGAACGGTGTAGTCGACGAGTCAAATGAAAAGCATTTGGCTCCTTGGTCTGTTGCGTGTACTGCTGATAAAATAGTAAACACACCACTAAGTCCGTATTTAGATAAAGTGCGTAAAATTTTCGATTATTTTTGTTTATTTATTTTTTATTATTCTTTTTATATTCTTGAATTTTTTTAAATGCAAAATGTATGTTAAAATTTTTAGGAGATTTTGTACAACAATCATTTGCATATCGAAGGAACAAAAATTGAAAGCTTAGGATTCAAATACACTAAACCTCATGTTACAGCAGAAGATTTAAAGTTGGTTAGTTTATTGCACTAAACTTTATTTTGGTGTTTACTAACTTACAGTACTTGTTAAATGTTTGGAGAAACCTTTACTCTTAATTTTAAACTAATCAAAACTAATTTTTTTATTCTCCTAAACGAGATTAAAAACATCGTATTTTAAAGGTTTTTCGGTAAAGGTTTATCCTAAAAAGGCCAATTTATAGAAGCAAAAACAGTAAACAAATTTATGTGTTCGTAATTAAAAAAATAAGCAATATTTACACATAGTTATAGGGATCGCATTTTCAGAGGCTCATAGTTGTTAAATAATCGTTATGTTTGAACGTACGCACGTATACTTTTCTAAAGATTTCTTGTTTATATCCAGTGTTAAACGAATAATACTGATGCACCGGTATAAATTAAAAACAAGAAAATTTTAGTTAAGGAAAAGAGAGCTTCTAAAAATGTGCTTTAATTTAAAAGGCGCTCCATCTAATTGTAGCTATTGCTCATTTTACCAAGTTTTAAAACCACCAATTTTCATAAATTTTCATAAAGTTCAAATGGATGGTATAAAAATATTTTAAATCGCAAAATTTAATGTGTTTTAGGTTGTACAAGATTACGTCACTTTAGGAATATTTCCACCTTCATTAGTTGGCTAATAAAAAATGTCAACGTTTGCACCATACACTTTAATATTATTTATAATGAATTTCTTTTTTTTATATTATGACGCGTAGTTATTATTAGTTAGTAATTTTTTTTAATGAGTGTCGTTAATTTTTATGTTATGTTTTAAATTTAAATTTTGTATTTCCTAAACGATCTCTCTTTTTTTCCCTTATTTTTATATTTAAAAAATTTAAAGTTTGTGTTTGTATTTATTATTGTTATCATCCTTTTAATTTTTTATGCTTTGTTGAAAAGAATTAAAAATAATAATTTTCAGCTATAAGCTTTTGCATGTTTAAATATATATATTTTTAATTTTTTATCGTATTGTTTTTGTTTCTTATACCAATTTAAATTTGTTAATAACATTTGTCAAGTTCCGGGTCAACTACGCAACACAGCTTTTTTGGTGTTTAATTTGGAACGTCAAAGCTTCATTAAGTAAGCTCACCGTATAATACGCTAACTATATTATATGCTGCGATTCTCACTACACTATATGATTTGCCATTACGTATGATGTTCTTTTATGTTTGATTTGATGTTTCTTTTATATCTGATGCACTTGTAATATATATATGCTCATAGTTTTAAACAAATATGACATGCTCACTACTTAAAATGCTAAATAATATTTTTAAAATAGAAAACTACAAAACTTTTAAAACAGAAGAATCTACAATATATATAAGGCCCAAGCTAGCTTTGTGACGTCTATGCAAACCATAAGTTAGTACGTAAGTACTTTTTAATTTCAAACATCATTGTTAATTTTATTTGGTTACCTAATCCCTTTGAATATTCAACCAACGACAAAACTATTACCGTGTCGCTTTTTTAAAGTTGTTAATGTCTGTCAAGTGAAGTCAGATCAAACTAAGGTATAAAATTATTTTTTTAAGTCTTTTCAAAAATTTCCTCTGGTTTTTTAAAGCTATCTTTTCAGTAAAAATACTATAAAAATGTCAGACTAAGTTAGCAAAGTTGACTTTTTAATGTGCTCTTGACTGTCCTTTACAATGGTTAAATCATTTACAAGTAATATATTTGATATAATTGAGCCAAGTTCAACTTAGTAATGATGTGGTTTTTGGGGTGCATTTAGCAAATGAAATAAATAAAAGTTAAATAACACAACTAGAATGTTTATTATAGCATAAAACTTTAAATGAAACATTAAATTTTAGTGTTTTAGTTTTTAATATTCATAAATCCTTCATTGCTCTCAGAATCAATATCTGCATTGAATAAGCTATCATCATCTGTGTTAAATAAGTTTTTTTTTTCGATTTGTCACTGTTCTTTGCAAAAAGTAACTTTTATTCCTTTGGCTAAGATTGCTTGTGGATTTGTATTTTCTTTTTTTTTTAAATCTGTTTTAGAAACAAAGTGTCAAAACTTTCAACATAATTTTGTTTAACTATAATATAAGAATATACAAAAAAAGTGGGAGGACGAGGCTGGTAATGCAAATGAAATATTTCTTTTTATATTATATAAAAAATTTTTAAATTTGCTAAATATCGCAACTCATAATAAAGGCTAAAAAGTAGGAAATGAAATATAGCAAAATCATTTGCTCTAAATTATATTCTTTTTTGTATTAAAAGTTGGAAAAGCAACTTATTAATTTAAATTATTAGTTCAGTAAACTAAAGATTGACAGTTATGTTTGGAAATAAATCTTGTTTAGATCTGTCAATCTTGATCAGACCTGTCAATCTTTAGTTTACTGAACAATTTAAATTAAAAAATCTATTCTCCAATTTTTAGTATAAAAAAGATTATATTTTTGAGCAAATGTTTTTGCTATAATTTTTTATTGTTCGAAATGCTCATTTATGACCCATATTTTATTTTATTTTTTTTGGTCAATTACTTAAGACTCCATAAAAATTTTGTTTAACGGTTGTTTTTTTGTAAATGTATGAATTGCTTTCATTTTGTTAAAAAACTTAAAAATTAAAATAAATTGTTTGTTATTGAATAACGTTCTAGTTTATATTACTATGTATCATAACGGTTTCAAAGACTATTGACTGATCAATGACGATCATGATTTTTGTAATACACTTGTACATTTTGTATATTGTACATTTACATACATTTTGTAATACACTTGTACATTTTGTATATTGTACATTTACATACATTTTGTAATACACTTGTACATTTTGTATATTGTACATTTACATACATTTTGTAATACACTTGTAATACTCACGTAAGTTCGAAAAAAAGGCAAATCAAATGTGTAATGTTGAAGTTATCTCTAAACTTGAAGATCAGTAAAACTCTGGCAAGTTTTTGTTTATCAGGTAATATACTTCATTTTTAAGGTATCAAGTAAGGAAGGTTCAGTAACATTATACAAAGTTAATTTTTAAGTAAAATACTTTTTTAAATACATTTTTTAACTTTATAAATAGCATTTCTCCACTCTCTATTGAACTAATAATAAACTTTCAATTTATCCATAAATTTGTTGTGCGTTTCAAAATACGAATCAAACTTAGACGAAATTTAGGCCAATAATTACAAAGTATCTGTTGATTTTATTATCAATACTTTCAGTAAGAATGAAATACAAAAGCACTAAAATCAATAATATCTTATCCACACAAAATAAGTTTTTTTTTAAACAAAAATAAAGAGAAAAGGAAAAAGTATTGCACACATTTATGGGTAGGCTCTTTTTCTGAAAAACAGAAAAAGAGCATAACAGTTCATTCAAGGGATTTAAAAAACAAAACTTTTTTTTAGAAAAATTGGAAACGCATAGATTTTTTTGGATGTTTATTAAAACAATAATGATGAATGAGAAGATTAGCACCCTTAAAACATTTGTAAACTGGTCCGCACTCAAAAAAAACTTTAGTTTCTAATTGCATTAATAATTGTATTTTATTGTATATATAATAACCTTAATTTTTAGCAGTTAGTGAAGATAATGTACGTTGGTGTCCAAGTCGAAAAATTAGCTTTTAATAAATTTTCTTAATTTTGGGCTGGTGGACTCTAACTTTGAAATTTATGTTTTTATGATTCTTCTGAATTATGTTAAAATTCTCTATAATAATCAATCATAAGGGGGAGAAACTTTAGTAGCGCCAACACTCGGTCATGCAAACCGAAAATATTCTAAGAAAAGGTTTGCGAAAACTGGTGCAAACCGAGTGAACCACGTCACTGAACCCAGTCTTCCATACGTTGAATACAAGGGGAGAAAAAAAAGGAGAGAAAAAAGAACATCCGAAAAAAACATCTAAAAATGTGCTCAATAATAGTTTAGCTAAATAATAAATTTTCGTAGAAATTTGTTAAAAAAAAAAGAAGCGTAAATTTGGATTAAAAATTGTAAAAAAGTTTTATTTTAACAACAAAACAATTGTTAGTACTATGAACACAAAAAATCAACTTAGTAAAAAAAACATGGTCGTTTATTTACAGTGAAAAGAGATTACCGCAAATTGCGTCACATAAATAGGTGTCAATCGAAAATGAAAAATAGGAAACCAAAAACGAAGTGTACATTGAATAAAAAAATATAAATTATACAAGTAATTACAAATTATTCAAAAATATATATTTTTATATTATATATATAAGAATCTATTATGTTGGCTATTTCTGTTTTGTTATTTTTGTAGCCAAAAACTTAACTTTATGCTTATGCGCGTTACACTTCCTCTCGTATGTCGAAGTTTACATTTCAAAAAAGAACGCTTTTATTAAAATATGGTATATCGAGTTATGGTATAAAATGTACCAAAAACTCAGCCATCACTTAGCAAAAAGCATTATAATTACTATAGGTCATGAGACGCAAAACAAGTTACTTTGAGGGCCAATCACACCATCCATGAAAAACTCGCGTGAATATGAAAGGTTCCTTTCGTTTTCCAGTTAAGTGTAACTTTCGTTGTGGACCTAACTTTTGTTCTTTTATATGCTGCATATAAACCTAATTAGAAAAATCAAAACAATCAATTACCAATTTTGCTCTAAAAAACTGCGAAAAAACAAATTTGTTTCAACTTGTATATATATATATATATATATATATATATATATATATATATATATATATATATATATATATATATATATATATATATATATATAATATATATAATATATAATATATAATATATACAATATATAATATATAATATATAATATATAATATATAATATATAATATATAATATATAATATATAATATATATATATATATATATATATATATATATATATATATATATATATATATATATATATATATATATATATATATATATATATATATATATATATATATATATATATATATATATATATATAAATATATAAATATATATATATAAACAGTTAAACTTAAGTCATACTTGACCGGCTTTCACTGACAACTTTTTCTCGATGTCACTGGCAGTTTCACCAATCCAAACAAATAGCTAAAACAAGCAAATACACAACAAATTATATTATAGGTTTAATTTGTAATAATAAAAAAAAACAAGAAATTTTAAATAACTTTTTATCTCGATAATAACAAAACGCAATCTCAATCAGAAAATTTTAATGTAGTAATCTTAATGTTTTATACAATTGGAACAAATTATTTAACCTCGCTTCCAGTATCAAGCAGCATGACATCATCATCCGCCAGATCATCCTAAAGACTCATATTAATTAACTTTTTTTTTTTTTAATTCTAAAAAAACAATGCCATTTTATTTATAAACTAAATACCTGACAAAAATCCGAACATTTTTCCGACACAGTAAAAAAACCTTTTTCATTTGAGCATCTAAATAAACGAGCTTGCGTCGCATATTCTGCCGTCTGAAAAATAATAACAATCTTTAAAACATAGTCATAAACCTACATTTAAAAGAAAATTAAAAAAAAAAATTGTGAAATTACCTTTGAAATATCTTTCTTTCCACCAATCCCTACCCAAAAAAAATTTTCTGGTTCTTCTCCTTCTAAAAGAATTTGCATAGAAAATCCTTCTTTAGCAAGCTCTCCAGCAATCTCTTCTGCATGCGTTGATTCTTCTTCTGAACAGTTCTTACCAATCCAAGCATATACAATCCCTCCAGAAGAATCAAAAGGTACCTATAGGTGAGTGAATATATATATATATATATATATATATATATATATATATATATATATATATATATATATATATATATATATATATATATATATATATATATATATATATATATATATATATAAATCAATCTATAATTATAAAATATAAAGTTGAGGTATGAATTCCTTATGTTAAGACTGATTACATAAGCACCCAAAGCTTTCAGATATATGTACACTCATTGCACCTACTGCTACAAAAATCAGTAAATATACAAAAAAAGTTTTTTTTGATTCTTCTTTTTCTGAAAATTGCGTATCTGTCTAAAGAGCACACTTCATTAAATTTCGTTTTTTTTTCAATAATAATTTTTATTAGAAACACCTTGATATATATTTTTTAATGTTGAATTAATTGAGTTTTACCACTTTAAGTTAATTTTTATACAATGAACTGTAAAATAAGAATTTTTACAGGATTTTTTTTTTATGAAATATTATTAATACTTTCTTGTGATATTACTACCGGTTGATGCACTATTGAGAAATTTTAATTGATAAACTTTTTAATATTAAAGAAAAAATGTTTAAAAATAAAGATTCAAAAAAATCTCAGCTAAACCTAAAAATTATCTTTATAACTTAAAAAAAAAATCTCAGCTAAATCTAAAAATTATTCTTATTATCTAATTTTTTCATCCAATAAATTTTAATTAGGGGCAGAAAAACAATTTAAAAATTCTAAAAAAGTTATTAGAACAATACTAATATATAAAAATTTCAAGAGATATATAGACAAACCTTTTGTTAGAAAAAATAACTAAATAAATGATAATATGAGCGACAGAGAATAGTTAAGCTGATCAATAATCTAGATTTATTGAAAGAAGTTATTTTATAGAAGATTAATTCAACCTAAACTTTAGAATAAGAAATTTTATTATTTCTTTAAAAATTTTGTTTAGTACTTTCATATTTTAATATAAAAATGACTTTTATATTTACAAACCTTGAGCACAAAACAGAAGTTAGAGTTCAATACTTGAGCATCACATTCCACTTGCATAGCTCGTCTTGTTAACTTGCCCATTGTGCTACGTATCTCAAATAGCCTTGGAGTTGTATTCCTTTCCGTATGTTTTCGACGACCTGTTGTGAAACAAATTTTTCAATACAAACTCTTTAAATAAAAATACAAGCACATTTGCTTTATACTTAAGTCTGAGAACCTTTTCTATAGAAGATCTAAAATCTTAACTTTAGTGTTGATAATCACAAAAAGAAATTTCTTTTTGTGATTATCAACATTTTTTTCATTGTTTTATTATAATAATGAACATTATGAAACAGCACACTGACCTTTTAGCTAATATGTTGATATAAATAATAACAAAAAATTGAAACCTCCTCATCATACTCACTAACTTTTTATAATGATTTTCTTAATTATTAGGTAGGTGAACCTTAATAATTAAGAATTAAAAAATTTTTTGACATTGGGAAGGTGAACCTTAATCATTAAGAAAGTGAACCTTAATTGTTGGGAAGTTGAACCTTAATCATTTGGAAGTTTTAAAATCAAAACATAATTTTATATTTTTACTTTTTATTACATTTATATTTTGATTATAATTTATAAATTCATGTAGTAGTCTAATAATTTTTCAAGGTTTAAAAAAAGTTACACTTTGATTTAAACCTTGAGGAAATTAGTTATTGAGTTAAAGACAAAAGCAAAGTTAAAAAACTTGAAAAATATTTATAATATTTAAGAAACAACAACTGTTTTATTGGTTATTCATCTTTTAGCCCATAAATGAATATTAATACCAGATCTCAGAATTAGGGTCAACATTCAGCAATGCCAACGTAATTGCTGACCTCATTTCTATGTTTAACCTTTGTGTAAATTTTTTTTGCCTACCTGATGTAGACCTCTAATACTTTAAATTCTGCAATTTTTGCCAACCTCATTTTTTCTCAATTTCGATTGTATATATATATATATATATATATATATATATATATATATATATATATATATATATATATATATATATATATATATATATATATATATATATATATATATATATATATATATATATATATATTTGTATGTGTATACACCCCATACAAACACACTTTTGGTTTAAAAAGATTTAAATGGTATACCTTTTTCAACTATAAATTTTCCTTTGAAATGAGACAAAAACTTAAGTGCTTCTTGTTGCTGGCGAGTCCTTACTACTTCTAATTTATCTCCGAATAAAGCCTCGAACTTCTTTTGAAGACTAAAAGTGAATGTTAGCCAACCCATCTTTCCTGCATCCCTGCCTTCCCAGAAATACACAACACATTGGAAATCATCCTAAATAAAAAATCAGAAATTTAGAAATATGTAACATATTTAAAGTTATTCTAATAAGATTAATTAAATTTTGCAAACACAATTTAATTAATCGAAAATGCACCACATGTTACATATAAGCTTAATTTAAAAACGAATTCAATGTGAAATTAAAAAACTAAAGATATGCTATAAAAAATATTAAAAAACAAACAAACAAAAAAACAACCTCTTTTTCTTCGTCTTCATCTTGCTCATCTTCATTTTCATCATCATCTTCATTTTCTTCAGGAGGCACCCAGTAGCGACACAAAAAAACATAACAGTCAGCACTATAGAAGTAACCAAACTCCTCCTCTGGTAGACGAACAAATTTTCTTCCTTCTAAAACAAAACATTCCATCTGTTCTAAATCTTCATTCCATTCTTCTGAAAGCTGATCCTAAACAATAATTTACCAGAAACCAATAATAAAGGTACAACTTATTTAACTGTTAAACTAAATTCATATTAAAATATTATATATATATATATATATATATATATATATATATATATATATATATATATATATATATATCTTTAAAAAAAAAGGAAGAATTAATGTTAGTTAGGGTCTATTTAAAATCAAAAAGGTTAAAGTGCTTGTATTTATTTTTTGTTTTGTGTACAAAAAAAGTTTTCCGACTTCAAAACTTAAGCAAATATTTTTTAAATCTAACACCATTGGAAATATATTAGAAAATATTTTGCATTATTCAAACAATTTAAAATTGTTTTATATACAAAAAACTTACACATTCCTGATCAGACATAGGCAACTGTCGTGAAGTAAATAATGAAGCAAGATCAACTTTTTGAACTTTAGGTGGAGCAAGATGAGGAACTATGTTAGGCTCCTGTTGTTTTTCAACCATTTCCTTAAAATAAATAAGTAAAAGGTATACATTATGTATTTTTGATTTTGAACTCAACCAAGTCCTGATTTTTAGTCCCAAAAATCAGGACTTGGTTGAGTTGTGAAGAATTAAACAGTATTGTCATATATCGCTTAAACGAAACTATCAATGTGGGTCTAACTTTGCCTCAGTTTAAAAAGAACCTGTTGATAAAATGTTATTTGAAATTTTTATAAAAAAAATATAAGATATTTAATCGAATAGCTTACAGCTCTTGAAGCAGAAACAGATTTTGCAGTTTTTGTAAAATCAACACTTAAGACGTCATCCCAACCATTGAATTTGCTTTTGAAGACAGAATTTTCTACGCTTAAAAAAAAAAAAAAAATCATATATATATATAGTTCTTTTAAATTGATGGCTTTGAGAGTATGAAGGGTAAAATATCATTTTTTTGACAATAATATACATCACTTTTAATTACTTTTGACTTTTGTAATTACCGCAAAAACCTAAACTTTAATCTTTTTTGAATGTAGAATGTGTTTGTTTATAATTTTAAAATGCTTTATACTGTTTTTATTTTTCAATTTTATTTTATTTTATTTATTTTTTTAGTGCATGCAAGGAGTGCTACTACATTGGCTTTTGTAAAAACATCAAATAAGATTTATATGATTTATTGTTTTTAATATTTCACACATCGTTTATAATAAAAGTTAATATCCAATATAGAAATTTTTCAAATTTGTTTTTGTATATAATATAGGTTTCATTTATCTAAAATTAAATGACAATCAAGTAAACAGTGCCAATAAAGAAATAACTGACGAATAATGGCTTCAGCTTCAAAAATGAAAATAAGAACAGACCATTGACAACAGTTGAAGGTAAAAAAAGTTATTAAAATTATAATAGTTTTGAAAATGAGTTTTGAACTAAATTTCTCGTTTTATAATAACCTCTTAATTTCTTAACGATAAAAAACAAAATGTAAATTAAAAAAGAATTTACTAAAAGAAATTTTATTTTATTAATTAAAAAATATTAAGAAACACAAAAACTATACTTCAAAAAATTTTTTTAACAAAAAAACGTTATATAACAAGTAGAAAACATTTTATGATTAGTCTTCATCATCTTTTAAACCTCTTGGTTAATTTTGCTGACATTATCTCAAGCGCGCATAATCACATTCTATGAAAACTTGTAACAGTTTTATGAGCGCAAAATAATACGCTGGGCGATTTTTTGATTGCAAGCCTTGCATATATAGTTATGAACAGAAAAGGCGTGTGATCACATGTTATTAATAACCTCGCATTTAATTTGTTTTTGTGACAACTTCACCACAGCCTTTTAGATTTTTGAAAACATTTCAAAAATGCGTTAAAATAAAGTTGGTGAGAAATAGCTTTTAAAGATTGTATACTATAAAAAAACATTTTACTTAAATAATCTAAGGATATATAGTAAAAATTTTTTACAATGAATGTAAGTGTTTTTAAAACAATTTGTAAAATTAATTTTATAACTTAGAACAAAAAACAATTGTTTCATTAAACTTTCAGATGAATACATAAATTTAATAGTCAAAAACATAACTAAGTTATTTTTTATAATGCTTTGTAAACTTTTTAATGAAATTTTTTTACACTATGCTAAATGCTTTTAAATAAAGTTTTAAAATGATATTCAATAAATTATCATAGAATATTAAATAAAATTTTCATTTATTTAAAAAGTTTTTTTTAATGATGAATTTAAAGTTTTAAAACAATTTGTTTGATTAATTTTATAAACAATGACGACAACAACTGTGTTTCAATAGATTTTTTTTCACACACATAAAGTTAATATGATCAAAAACATAACAAGGTTTTTTTTTGTTATTTTGAAAACTTTCTAATTAAATGTTTTTATACCCTAGTAGTATAAAAGCACTTAATTGGAAAGTTTTTAAAACCACAACAAAAAGAAAAAAATTTTCTTACATTATTTAATTAAAGCAACAAATTTTAACTATTCTTCCAAATAAAAAACATTAAATACAAATTAATAAAAAAAAGTCTATATTTTATGATTATGTTTGAATAAAATTTTATAGATGATTTTAATTTATATATAAATTTTTATTTAAAAGAGTTGGCTTAATATTATAAAAACATGAGAAAAGATAAAAGTTTTAAAGTTATTCAACTTATAAGCAGAATCAAATAATTAAAGAGTCATAATCTTTTTATAAAAGTTTTTTAATTTTTCAGTTTTATATTTTTCTTTAGAGCTATAGTTTTTAACAATTTTATTTTAATTTCTGCTTCATTGGATTTCTTTGTTTTTTTATAGTTAAGCTTGTTTATAGTTTTCTTTTGTCAAGTTTTTTCAGGGCATTTTTGAAGCGTTAAAAAACCAAAGTCAAGCTTTCAAAAATAAAAAAACTATATGCGTGGTCAGGTATCAAGTGCGATCACACACCTTTCCTGTCCACGATATGTATATATATATATATATATATATATATATATATATATATATATATATATATATATATATATATATATATATATATATATATATATATATATATATATATATATATATATATATATATATATATATATCTGTTATATATATATATATATATATATATATATCTGTTATATATATATATATATATATATATATATATATATATATATATATATATATAAACACTGATATATATATATCTGCTATAGCATATTTATATAACAGTGTTTTCAGAAAACAAAGAATAATGAAAGAAAAGATTGCTGCCCCGTTACAAACCATAAGTCAATGTAGCAACAGAAGGCTGTAATATAGGCAATGTATGCACTGAGCCCCCCCCCCCCCTTCTTTAAGAGTACTGAAGGTAAAAATCATTCTTTTAACAACAAATTATGTCACTTTTAATTACTTTTGACTACAATTACGGCAAAAATGCAACTTGATTGACTTTGTTTTTAATGCAAAATGTGTTTGTTTTTAATGCAAAATGCAAGGAGTGCTGCTACATCTACAGTTAAAGGTAAAACATATATTAATTCAACAGTTAGTCAAATAAATTTAGCATTTTTGTAGGTAATTTTAATGTCACATACATATTATTCTACAAATTACTGCAATTTTATATTTTAGGATAACAATTTTTATAGTTAATACTAACGTGATATGAATTATAATTTTTGTTTTAAATAAAAATATTGAGGGATAAAATAAAAAATAATAATTTTAAAGTTTTTAATTTTTGACATCAAAAACAAGATTGGGTAAAAAATGTGGTAAATGCAGTTTGGGACAACTTTTGTGCAGTTAATCTAATTGATTCAAAAACATCAATTCTTAACCTAGTCTCATCCTTTCTTCCAACAATCATTATAAATTAATTTTTTTTCTCCACATTAAAAACAATGTTACACTTGCACTTTGCTATATCAAATAGCTTCTCTGAGGTGATACTAGAAATAATCTCAGAATTAAACTTGTAGATAACAATATCAGACTTTTTCCATACATTAACTGTTTTATTTATACCAACTTAGTCAGCTAAAAATAGAACTTTAGGATTTACTTTCAATTATTGTGTTTTTATTTTAAACAAAACTTTTTTGCATTTGCATTGCATTTTTTGTCTTTTTTTAATAATCCGACCTTATTTAATAATATTTCTGAATGTGGATAACTCAAAACCTTAAAAACAATACTTTGGTCATCTAAAATAGTATATTTAAAATATAACTTATTAAATTACAACCATAATTTGCAATGCAACATACAATAGTTAAAAGCCTTTTTTTTTTTTTTACCTAACTTACAAAACTTACCAAACTTTACAAAAATAACTACCTAAAATTTAAAATAATAAATTTTAGGCTAAAATGACTTTCTGGTTGTCCAATGAGGGGTGCTTACAATCAAGAAATTGGCAAAGTTTTTGAGTCAATCAAATTAATTAGATATGAGGCAAAAAAAGCATACACAACATTTTTACCCCTCACCCAAGTCAAAATTTAAAAACTAAAAAAACTAAATTATGTATGCAAATTATTGATTCATAACATTACATGTTGTTTTTTATCATATTTAAAAAAAAAAATTTTCTATTTAATTTACTTAAATAAATAATTTACTTAATTCATAAATAATAAAAAATAAAATAAAAGTACCCCTCTAGATTACGAGTAACTAATGCATATTCTGGTCTAGGTAAAAATTCTGACAACTCTTGAGCCAACTTGGTAGCAGCAGCTCGTACTAATCGAGCAGATCGTCTTCCTATCCTACAAAATAAAAAATAGAATAAAATAAAACAAATAATAATTTTAAAACAATATTAACAATACAATAACAAAAAGAGAAATAGCTAAAAAATATTAAAAAATTATAAACATCAACAAGAAAAAATGAAACAACTTAGTAATAAATAATATACCAAATAAAAACATCGGACCAACAATCTAGAATATAAACACTTTTTGTATCAAGCAATTCTTGTCTCAGTTTCTTTCTGGGAATCTCGACTACAAAACATTAAAATTAATTATTCAATTTACTATATAATACAAAATAATAAAAAAAGCAACAATAAAAAAAAAAATAATCGTTAAAGCTATATCTAATTATGACTATTTAGTTGTATTTTTATTATTGTAAAATATATTAAAAAACAAAAGCTAAAATATTAAATATTTATTTTACAGTTATATATACCGCAATAAAAAATCACAAAAAAAGCACATCTCAATATTTTTTTTTATTTTTTGCAAAAAACTGTTTTAAGTATGTGTAGAGTTGTTTAATATTAGTTCTTCCCAATTGTTTTCAGTATGTGTAGAGTTGCTTAATATTAGTTCTTCCCAATCGTTTTAAGTATGTGTAGAATTGCTTAATATTAGGTCTTCCCAATCGTTTTAAGTATGTACAGAGTTGCTTAATATCAGTTCTTCCTAAATGTTTAAAGTATGTGCAGAGTTGCTTAATATTAGTTCTTCCCAATTGTTTTCAGTATGTGTAAAGTTGCTTAACATCAGTTCTTCCCAATTTGTTTGAATACTTTAAAGAATAGTTTTCTAGTTATTGTTAACTGAACTTTTAATATTTTTGGAGTGTGTACCCCAAAAACCGCATTCAAATAATTGATTATGTCTTTGCAGTCAGTAAACCTAAGAACTTGAAATTTGGCGTGACTTGATATTACTTAATCTACTTTAAATAAAAACAAAAAACTGCTAACTTAGTCTCGGAAGAAATATCTGATGCACCACAAATACCACAAAACTGGTACCCCCAAAACCACATTGATTATTTTTAAATAAAATTTTTTAGGTATTGCAAGTGTTCTCAATTTTTACTTTATTCGTTATATATTACCTCTTGATTCTAATGATGTATTTGCAGTGTTTTAAATTAAGTTAATATTGTATTTTTTACCTTTTAAAAGTGTAACATTTTTAAAAGATAAAAATTTTAGAAATTTGTTAAAACTAACTTTTTTTAAATCTATAGCAAAATGCTAAATTTTAACTTGCCAATTGTTTTTGTATTTTAGATAGTTCTGCAGAGCGACTGATGTATTCTAAAATGTTTAACAATTAATTTTTTTTTATTAAATAGAGTTAGAAAAATACACATAAAAAATGAAGTCAAAAACTCAATCTGTTTGGGCAAAAAGCAAGCCAGAGTCAACAATGGGAAGAAAGTTCACAGGTGTAAAGAACATCCAAATAGAAGAATCAATAAAATTTTGTCTCGACCATAACGTGCAAGGCTATAAAGCTTTGAAAACTGGATTGTATCCACTAGTCAAAGATAAAGAAATAATAAATAGAAGATTAGACAGAAAAATAAAAAATGGTAACTAATCATGTTTTAGACATCGTATATATAACTGAATTTGGTGTTTAAATAACTTTGATATTTTTTAGGTCAGGAATGTCACTATTGTACTATTTTTATGCTTGAAGAGGAGGAGTCAGTAGTAAACCATGTCAAGAACAGGAATAGAAGTCTGGAAGGCACCAACAAGGCAGAGTTGACCAAACTTCTTCTTGACATCTTAAAGATAAAGAACTATATGAACAGAAGATGCAAAAGAGGTTGGAAGTTTGTTAAGTTATCTCCTAATGCTTATAAAGATTAGAGATATGGCTGAACAAAGCCTCCAATTAGAAAAAATTCCGGATCTGTTAACTATTAGGAAATTAAAACTAAACCTTGAAAAAGCATCTACATGAGTTACTCAGGTCTTTGGTTTAATGCGTGCAAAAGATGCTGCAGCAAAAGTGACAGAGATAACAGAAGAAAAGCAATAAAAGCTATCAGCAAAGGAGGAAGCAAAAAAAAAAAAAAAAGAAGAAGCTAAAGAAAAACTTATTAAATGTAAAAG